GAATGTGGGGGTTGTTTTGGGGGGGGGGGGGGGGGGGGGGGGGGTATTTAGACTTTGGACTCCATCTATTTTTTTTTTCATTTAAAAAAAATATAAACCTCAAACAGACCTTATTCTGACCAATTCTAACTACTTTGACTTTGTGGGGCTTTTCGTAATTATTGCTGAAAGAAAAAGGGAGAGATACATCTGCTTCCCATCTCCACGTTAATAACACATAAACTTGCCATGGTGACACTATAAACTGAATATTGCCTCAAACTACTTTCAATGCAGTTTTTAAGAGGCCAATACTTACTTGCGATAGTCAGGCGTGATCTTTGGCTAAGTATGGCTCCAAATTTGTTCTTGGAGAGGCACTGATAGAATCCTTCATCTGACTCCTCCTTGGTGTGCTTTATCTTTGGTATGTACAAGGAGCCGTTTGGTAAAAGCTGGATGTGTTCACTTTCTGCCAAGTGAACACCATTTTTCAGCCACTTGATGGCGACGGGAGGATGCCCGTGAGCCTGGCAGTCCAAGACAGCAGGGTCCTTTGGTAAAACGGTCACATCACTGGGCTCAGTGATGAACGACAACTCACTGAAACATAAAACACCTGGAGGGGGAGAAAGCAATATTAGGGACAGATTGATAGTGCTTCGGGATTACAAGCCTTATCAAGCATGCATATATGCATATATATACTGTATATATTACTCAAATCTACTACATTGCAATAAAATGCAATACGTCTACAGATGGTACATTAGGTATCATGTATGTATCATGTTCAAAAAGGCAATAAAATGACCCATGTAATAGCATGGACAACATAAATGCAGATAAACATGACGAGTCCCAGTTTTATTTCAAAGAAAATAAAACAGTAATACAAATAATGTAATTTTGCTGTGACGCGTCGTGCACCACAATATTCATAATGATGCTGTTTCCAGTGTGAAAGTGTAGCACAGAAATATTTCAGTGTCTGTTATGTATTACCAAAATATATGATAAATGAACAATGCCTCGGCATTATTAAAGAAAGAAGGAAAGAATGAAAGAAAGATATTTTTTGCATTACAACTGTAGTGGATAAGAATGTTAGGCTGATACAAGAAAAGCATAGAATATTGCTGTGCAATATAGTCATAAACAAAAGCAAGTTCTTTCAGCTAGCTCGCATTCAAAAGCACATGTCACGTCAGCTTCGGTCAACAAGGATGGACACAACTATCAAGAAACAAGACACTTACTTGGTGAATACAGAAAGTAAACCAAAAACAGCAAGTCTTTCATCTTAAACTTCGCCATTTATCCACAGTGCAGTCTCATTTTCGCCCGAAAGCGAACCTCCACGTTCCTACGTATGGCTTGGAGGTCCCCCAATCACTAAATCGCTCCAAGCAGAGCAACTCCAGCAGTACCGAGGTGCGGGGGGCGCACCCACCCTCCGGTTTACTCTCTCACGCATGCGCAGACTACGTGGTCAGAAATTCAACTAATTCAGGTAACGACATTACATAGAAATAGCACTGATTGTACCTTACACAAAGCTGTTTCTGATGTTTTGCACCCTTTGTGTAAATAGATAACGCGACCAAAATATTACAAACACCTCTCGGTAGAGTTTTATACCACTGCAAACAATGGACCATCATAAAGATATTGAGATGTGAATGTATCATCGCTCAAAAACAAGAGATGGCTTATGTGTGTCGAAACGTATTTTATACCCTGATTTATAAAGTGATTTTACTTTTTTCCTCGCACATCGGGTTTTTGAGATATTTCCATATTTTATTTTGAAGTACAGTGTCTATCCATACTACATCCTCAAATTTGAGCGAAAGTGATGTAATTTATTTAGATACTGTTGCACTGTGTCGTCATTCGTCACACAAATTTGTGATTGTGTGTGCGCGTGTGTGTCTATGTATGTTTGAGGTAATAGGTTAGCGGCATATCTGGTTCACACTCCTTACCAGTAGTTGGCGGTAATGCACCTGAACGTTTCTTGCCAATCGCCATAAAACTCCAAAAGAAGTAGACAAATGTTAGCATGTTACTTGCTAACATGCCGGCTATATTATCCGACAAGAAAATGCAGTTTTATGCCTGCAGTTGGTAAATACAGTATACTGTTTTTTCGTCGCCTTTATTAAACCTTCATCGCTGATATTCATCTTTAACTGCAGCAGGTGAGTATTTTAACTGCATACGAAATGTGGCGAACGTGGTGTTAGCACGGTGGCTAAGCTAACTTGTCAACATTGCATAAGGATGACAGTATTTCAAAGGAATACGACGTTGAACTATATCGGTGCTTCTTATCAAAGAAATCGACCATTAATACCATCACGCCAATGTTTAGCTCATTGGAGATTCGGCGTGGTAAGTTGTTGATATGTCTTCTTTTTGTTTTAGGGAAGGATGGCAGTCGAAAAATTTGTTTCAAAGACACTCGAACTTCTTCAAGAAGAGAGGGAAGCTGAAATAGAGGAAACCAGGTTTGTGAAGAGAATTTAATGGAAACACTCCACCTGCCTTATCTTCCCTAATTAAAATGCATCACCTTTACTTACATGTTTTTCGGTACTTTTTTTATTTCCGTTTTTTCCCCAGCATGGTAGGTTAGTGCAGTGGTTCCCAAACTTTTTTGCTATACCCAATGGATGGATTATTTTGTTTCTGCACTCAGGGTGTGGAAGGAGAACATATCACTCAAGGAGCTTCAAAACAAAGGAGTGTGCCTGTTAAAACTTCAAATTGGAAGTCAGTCCACAGGCATGTACGGTCGAACAGTTGTTGTCCTCGAGCCAAGAAAGTATCTTGGCCTCTCATCTCTTCCAAGCAATAGCTTTGGACCTGGTAAATTGGAAGAAAAAAAACATTGCTTCTTATCTGTGATTTTGAAACTCTGGTTGACTTCTTGTATCCTTTGTCACAGGGGATATAGTTGGTTTATATGACTCCGGGGGATGCAGTGAGACCTCTCAGATCAGCACAGGCATTGTGACACGGGTCAGCCAGATCTCAATAAGTGTGGCTTTTGATGATTCAAAGGATGGGCTCAGTTTTGATGCACAGGCTCTATACAGTCTCTTAAAGTTGGCAAATGATGTAACTTATAAACGAATGAAAAGGTAAGCAGTGCATTTTTATTGTATATTTAAATTGTCAACTGTGTAGCTGTGTTACATATGAACATTTTTTGTGCTGGCAGGGCTTTAGATAGGTTAAATGGATACAACAATGGACCATCTGCAAATCTGATCAATGTTCTCTTTGGGGAAGCCAAACCTTCTTCTCATTCCCAACCATGTAAGTGACAGCAGACTTACTTTGAGACTTGCGCATGTCCTTCTTGTACATGAAATTCCAATCACACAAATTACAAATGACAAGGGTATGAAGGGCAGAATATTGAGCTTGCACAATGAGATCCAAAACAAGCTATTTCACTTATCTGTGAAGTAAAAGCAACATTTGTGATAGAGCTGTTGAATTGTTTGTGTCAATGATGCATCTTTTGTGTGTGTGTCTTCTTTAGAGAAAACCTTTGACTTGGTGTTGTTTTCCATTAGATGAGGTCAAATTCTTTAACTCCAACCTGGATGATTCCCAGAGAGAAGCGGTGACCTTTGCGTTGTCTCAGAGAGAGTTGGCAGTGATTCATGGACCTCCAGGCACTGGGAAAACCACCACGGTAGTGGAGATCATTCTGCAAGCTGTCAAACAAGGCCAAAAGGTGCAACAAAAAACTGCCTACAGATGTCTTAACAAGGATATCAACCGGTTGCAGCTTGTAAAGCATCTCACATGAGCCAGAATATCCTTTTTTTGTGCAGGTCTTATGCTGTGCCCCTTCAAATGTGGCAGTGGACAATTTAGTGGAGAGTTTAGCCCGGTGCAAGGCCAAAGTTCTGAGGCTCGGTCACCCAGCCAGACTTCTGGAGTCTATACAGAAGCATTCGCTGGATGCCATCCTCGCCAAGAGTGACAACGCCAACATAATTGCTGACATCCGAAGGGATATTGACAAAGCTTTTGTAAGTAGGTCTGCGCAAGTCCCTTACAGGCATGTGAGCCACCTTGCCGATGATTGTAGTGGATGTAAAGCTGAACCTTGAGTTTGGTGGACAAGCTTCAGATTTATCGCCACTTGAGTGGTTAAAAAAAAAAAAAAAAAAAAAAAACACACACAGCCGATGCAATATAGCTGTGCATTGACAATCACACACAAATACTGTACATAATTTGAACGCTCGCAAGCAGTTACCCAGAACTCTTACCCAGACATTCATGCACAGACGACCTCGATCTGTATGTGTAATCCTCTCAGCTTGGAATGAAGAAGAACAACGAGAAAGGAGAGCGGGGCAACCTCTGGAGGGAAATAGGCGAGCTGAGAAAAGAGCTGAAAACCAGGGAAGCCACGGCCATCGGCCAGATTCTAAAAAGTGCTGACGTTGTGTTGTCAACCAACACAGGTTAGTCAAAGGCTTCAGATAGCAAATGTCACCTTGGTGTCATCGTGACGATGAGCAGAAGCCGTTCATCCGCATCTGCAGGTGCGTGTGATGACGGGCCTCTGAAGTTCCTGCCAGCCGAGCATTTTGATTGGATGGTGATTGATGAGTGTGCCCAGTCGCTGGAGAGCAGCTGCTGGATTGGTCTGCTCCAAGCTCGCAAATGCATTCTGTCAGGAGACTACAAGCAGTTACCACCTACTATCAAATCACAAGTGTAAACATTGTTTTTTCCCAATATTGGACATTTTCAAATCTATCATAAGGTTTTTCTTTCTATCCTTGATATGATCCATATTGTTCTTCCATGGTTCCTGCAGGGCGGCTTCAAAAGGCTTGTCTCTTAGTCTAATGGAGAGACTCATCCAGATGTATGGAGACTCAGTTGTGCGGATGCTAACAGTTCAGTACCGCATGAACAGTGCCATCATGGAATGGGCCTCCAAAGAGATGTACCACGGAAGACTGACAGCACACAGTTCAGTGGAGGCACACTTATTAAAGTGAGAATCAGCTCAGTTAGAAAAATAAAAGACAAAAATAGAAATAAGTGCCATACTTAAATAAATGTCACAAACAGAGATCTCCCTGGGGTCACCTGTGTCGAAGAAACCAGCACACCTCTTTTTCTCATCGACACAGCTGGTTGTGGTCTGACAGAAATGGAGGTGTCAGATGAGCAATCCAAAGGCAACCAAGGTTAGGTCTTCTTACCTAATTGTACTTCAAAAGCAAAATTACGTCACTGATGGTTAAACTGCAAAACATTTTTGCAATAAATATCTGTATTTTGACAGTACGTTCACTGTACTGTTTTAGTTCTGTTTTTTTTTCCAGAATTTCAAAAATAAAATAAGATTTAAAAAAAAAATCTTATTTGGATTTTTGGACCATTTAAAATCTTTCCTATTCTAAATTGTTCAGCCACACTCTACCAAAAAAATAACCTAAATTTCAAAATAAAAGCCCAAAACAAAGATTTTTTTTAAAAAGACTTCTAATCTTCAAATTTTTGGACCAATTCAAACCATTCGGAATTTGAACTGTTCAGTACATCTTGACCACATTCCTTTATTCAAAGAAAAAAAAAGCACAAAACATGATTTCTTGTTGGTGTGATCTTTGAACATATCTTCCTTTTTCTCAGGTGAGGTTGAAATCGTAGCACTGCACATTAAAGCCTTGACTGAAGCTGGGGTGAATGCCAAAGACATAGCTGTTATTGCTCCATACAATTTGCAGGTAAGTTACTTGGGTGGGAAGCTGGATTTTAAATCATCATAATTGGACTTTTGTCAGGTCAACCTTAACCTTGGCTCCGATCAGATTGTGAAAGTTTTAACAAATGTTTTGGGCTGTGAGTTTCCTGCTTAACACCTGATCATAGTTTTAATGCTTGTGCCTCTGTGAAGGTCGACCTCCTGCGTCAGAAACTTTCTGCAAGGCATCCAGCGCTAGAAATCAAGTCAGTAGATGGCTTTCAAGGCAGAGAGAAAGAAGCTGTGGTTTTGTCTTTAGTCCGGTCCAATCGGAAAGGTACATTTTCAGTTTTGGTGTTAGGGCTATGGCAACATATCCGTCATATTCAATCTGATTTGGATAATGTTCATACTTCCTGAATGCAGGTGAAGTTGGTTTTCTGGCAGAGGACAGAAGGATAAACGTTGCTGTCACACGTGCGAGACGTCATGTGGCCATTGTGTGTGACACCCAGACGGTTCAAAATCACGCTTTCCTCAAGACGCTGGTCCACCATGTCACTGAGTACGGGGAGGTCCGAACAGCATTTGAATACCTACAGGACATTGTCCCGCAGAATTACGTCCGTGACCACAAAGACACAAAACCTGACACTTCGACAACGCAGAAGCCCGAGGGAAAGAAACCCAAACCGGTTCCCAAGAAATCAAGTGGAAGTAGCACGCAGGCTAATAAACGCAACAATCCCATAAAGGCATGTGTATCGGCGCTCGCTGAGGAGGAACAGAAAAGGAACCGACAAAGTGAGATCAGAGAGATGGTGGAGAACTTTATGAAGAATCTCAGTAAGAGTGAACTCGAATTCCCGCCATCGTTCAACTCCCACGACCGCCTGCTGGTGCACCAGATCGCCGAAGAGCTCGGCCTCACGCACCAGAGTAAAGGCGAGGGGAAAGACAGGTGCATCACCGTCTCCCGGCCAACAGCTCAAGAGCAGGCGGAAAGAGAAGAAAGTAAGGGAGCAGCTACTTCCCAGCAGCAGGACACTCCTCAACACCCCCCAAAAGAATCTCCATTAGATTTAAAAAGTTTACACGTAGAGCGAATGCAGAGGGAACAGCAGAAAAGGGAAGATCATGCTCGACAAAAGAAGCAGCAAAGCTCAGTCGCTACAAAGAAGTCCGCCGCCGCTAAAGGTTAGCATTGCAAACATCTACATTTGTACCTTGCCAAATTTGTGTCGACTGTGTTTTTGCGCTCTCCCAGGAAAGAAGACGACCAAAGCAGGCGCCTGCGAAATTGCAGCGGCCGCTTCCCCGGGCGACGACTTTGACGCCCTCATCAGCGCTGTGGTGAAGGCAGACAGCGTTTGCAGTTTTGCCAAGTGTAAAGCCTCCGTGCTAACACTTGGACAGCTTTGTCTTTTCTGCAACAGGCAATATTGTCTCAGTCACCACATACCAGAGGTAAGGCAGCAGGAAGACTCAAACCTTGACAAGTAGACTTTGCATAGTTTTAAAGGTGTTTGAAAAGCGTGTGCGATACATAATTCATGTTTCATCAAACCATAACAATTATGGTCTAAAACGTTCAATCACAGTTCTTCTGCACCATATTTTCATCATTCCATGAAATGACGGCAAAGTAAAAGCCAGATGCACCTTACTTACATGCTACACATGTCAAGCTTATTTGTTTAGGCCTTCGAATATTTATGTATCATTTCAGGTGCACGGCTGTGGAGATAAAGCCAAGACTCACGCTCGAATGAGAATAAGCAAGGAGGGGGTTCTGTACGCCGGCAGCGGGACAAAAGACAAATCCATGGACCCCAATAAAAAAGCTTATCTACACAGGAAACTGGACTCTAAACTCAAAGATATGGCGACACAGAGGAAAACAAAAAACAAAGAGAAGGATGGGTAACAATTCTGAAATAAAGTGGTGTTAGTCCTGCCAAAAATGTTCTTTTTTTTTTCTCCCCCTCTTTTTATTTTGTAAACAAGATACAATACATTGAACTGGGTACATTCATTGACATTAAAAGAAAATAGAACAAACAGGAGAAGCAGAAAACTAACGTACGCAAGCACATTTGTGTCGCAAAGACAAAGCAAAGCTGGTGGATTACGGGGACAACTGCAGACGTGCCACGACAAGAAAGGCGTCACCTTCACACTGTTAATGTTCACCTTATAGCCTTAAGTTTGCCAAGATCTTTTGATATCACGAAAAAGTCAGCTCTGACTGGTAACGCCCATCTTCTTGCAAGCCGTAGAACACCAAAATCCCATCTTTTTTTTCCATCTGCATGTGTGAACCATAATTAAGAGAAGTCAGAGTTGAGAGGTAGTTCATTCTTACAATGATGTCAGCAATGGAGGAATGTAAAAAGCGAAAAACCTCCACCATTGTGCTGAAGAGAACTCATCTGTTTTGGTTTTATCTGCCATACTCGTGAATAATGAGACATTTTAGTTTTCACGGTAAAATGTGATCATGCAGCATCAGTGATAAAATAGCTGCATGAAATATTCTGCCTTTACAAAGATAATATTGCTGCGATTTGACACTGCAAGATACTACAGAGGTATTTTTCTAAAATATTGAGTGAAAAATGAATGTAACAAATACATGGTTTCTGTTAAATAGTCATATTACAGGGACTGTATGTGCTCACGTAAATACACAACTAGATTTTATTACGTGTTTGTTTGGCATTCTTAGTCAATCAAACATGCAACGTTTGACATGCGGAGTTCTCAATTCTACAAAAGCTCAGCATTCTTCCCCGTTTTCCAAATGACTAATTAATGCCTATTTACAAAAAAAAAAACATTCAAATAAATACATGAAAGCAACCATCAGATTCCCTGTTCAGCCATCGTTGTCCCTCACTACTGGTGTCAGATTTGGACAGAAAAAGGAATTTCTATGAAGAGCACAATGTGCGTTGATCCGGCTCCTTAATGTCAAGGAGTAAACAGCTGCATATACATATTTTGAAAGACATCAGAGTCTTGTTAAGTTCGAAAACACCTCCCCTTATTTAAAATGTTTACATTACTGTATGTACAAGAATAGAATATCATGCAAACAAAAGTGGCTGAATAAAACCTTAATATGCATAAAGTGTAAAGAACACCAAGAGAACCTCTTATCCTTATTGTACATTTCCGATGCATAGACTAGCATGAGTTCATAAATATGTCCTGTGTACGGTCCAAATGCTTTGCTACTTCCTCTCACCCTTGCAACCAAAATCCAAATACTCCAGCCTGGATTAAAATGTAGCAAATGGCATTTTTACCTACCCCGTTCTCTTAACTCACTTCCATACTGATGTCAGTCAAGAAGATGAGAGAGTCCTCAGAATGGGGAGGCCTGCTTCCGTTCAGCACCCCCCCAGCACAGAGCCACGAATTACAACCTCGTCAAAGATCGTCATCTCTTCCCCGAGGCTGCCCGCTTCTGTCAAGGCCGATTGGCAGCTTGTGAGGCATCAGTGCACCGTGTTTGGAGATCGATTGGTCAAACATGGTGGCTAAATCACACGAATCCTGGTTTCATGGAGTTCTTGAAACACTTGGGACAACCTTTTGTCCCGTTAGTCTGCAGACACCTGGAAGAATAAAAAACATTGTACTTAAAAGATGAACGGGAACAGTGAATCGACTCCATGGTTATTATAATTAATGAAATAATGAAAACTTAAATTGAAAAAAACATTGTTGTCAACAAATTCCAACCTAGAGTCTGTTTTTTCAAAAGTGCTAGCTAACTGAACTTTGTAAAGCTAGCTATAATTGTAGCCAAAACTGTTCTGTGTCATCTTTTGTCAATTAATTACAAACATCAACTTAAACTAATAAAAACAAACAAATTTGCTCTAAAAACTGGTTGAATTTAATTGAATTTGGAAAAACAAAATAACAACCAACTATTATGAAAAATCTCAAACGATGATAGCTCTGATCGATACCCATTTGAGGTGGAAAATGTGTGAACAAAGGGTCCGTATAAAACGAAAAACTAAAACTAATACTAAAACTAATAAAAACAAATCAAAAACAAATCTTTCTAAAAATATAAATAAAAACTAACCAACCTGCTCTGAAAAGTAATTAAAACCAATTGCATTTTTTAAACAAAAATCAGAACAAACTACAATGAAGAATCCAAAAGTATAACTCTGGTCGACACTCACTTCAGGTGGAAAATGTGGGAACAGGGCAAGGCCTGCAGCTTTTGGTCCCTGTCCCCGATGGACTCGCCGCACATGCCGCAGTAGAGCTCCAGCTCCTCCACGCACTGCAGGAACTTCACCACCTGCTCACGCAGTTCCTCCTGTCTGCCCTGACTCCTGTAGATGCCCTCCCTCAGGCAATGGGCCTTCAGCGTGCACAGCTTGATGCGCAAACACAACAAGGTCATCGGTGGAATATGGGTCCTGCCATCCATGTTTTACGTTGTGCGCGAGGATCATCACAAACCTTGTTTCCCATTCCATCTGCCAGGGCCTGTGCTCGCTCTAAAGAATCCAGGGCCTGGAGAATAAAATATAAGAGACGACGATATTCATATATTCATTCATTTCGATTCAGTGGGATTACGATTCAATTTGATATGGTGTGGCTCAAATCGAAAGGGTCTGTTCTAATGAGTTTCTTGTTGTTCTTTTACATACAAATGGCTCAACGTATCGGTAAATGTGGTTTTTACAAAACGAATCTAAAGGTATAAGGACATACTTTAAAATGGAACGATTCCATTCGGTTTGATACGATCAGATATGAGAAGATTCAAATCTTTTTTTGTTAAGCTGCGAATATACAGATACAAACATACATAAACGCTAGCTTCGGGCCGAGACCTCTTCACGATTTGAAACGTAATTTTTTTTTTTTCACAAATCTATACTGTTGGATGTTTGTTGACCAATCTTAAGTGTTGAAAATCTTAATGATTAAACAAGGGTGCCGTTTTTGGGGTCTCCTGAAAAGTGATCTTGAAGGTACAAGGATCCGACCCGAGGCTAGCGATACATAAGCAGACGTAATGGTCATCATGGTTTGGGATTTTATCAATTTGTACAGGTGTACCTAATGTTTTGTCCAGTGCACCTATCTATTACACGTTTCGTTTTATACCAAAACGAGACAGCTAATTAGCTGCAGCGCTGTAACTACTGCATTTATGTTACTGGTAATTTCAGCACCTTAACATATTCCTTGAGCAGAAGCCAACACTTTGCCACTGCCAGTTGCACGTGGGCTTGTCCAAGTCGATTCCCAATCTCAGTCATGATACCCAATGCCGACTCGTAACGAGGGAATGCTTTCTGAAAGGTTTAAAAAAGATACAATTAAGTTCCACTGGTTCGGTCAAAGCTCATTTGTCAGATCAGGGAAAAACAAGCGATAACTACTTACATCAAAGTCGCGCCTATAGCGGTGTATGTCTGCAAAGTTCAGCAAGCACAGAGCCTGCAGAGGGCGGTCACCATGCTGCAGGGCAATTTTCATCGATTCCTATCGGAGGAAAACATCGCGAGAGGAGAGAAGTCCATCACTGAGTTCGACTACAACATCAAAAGGTTCAGAGAATCTGGAGAAATCCCTGCATGTAAGTGGCAAGGCCGAAAACCCACGTTGCCTGCACGCCTGCATCAAAAATCGACATCGATAAAGTGTATCACAACATGGCTCAGGAATACTTCAGACAGCCAATGTCAGTAAATGCAATTTGGCGCTACATACGTAAGTGCAACTTAAAACTCTACTACACAAAGCAAAAGCCATTTCATCAACAACACTCGGAAATGCTGTCGGGTTCTCTGGGCCCAAGCTTATCTAAAATGGACTGATACAAAGTGGAAAAGTGTTCTGTGGTCTGACGAGTCCACATTTCAAATTGTTGGACTGCCACAAAGTTCAAAAGCCAGCAGCGGTGATGGTATGGGGCTGTTTTAATGCCCGAGGCATGGGTAACTTACATATCTGTGAAAAGACAATTAATGCTGACAGGATTTGGAGAAACATATGTTACCATCAAAGCAATATGGACGCCCCTGCTTATTCCAGTAAGACAAACCACATTATACATGTGTAAAACAGCGTGGGTACTAGAATGGCGTGCCTGCAGTCCAAACCCGTCTCCCATTGAAAATGTGTGGTGTATTTTGAAGTGTAAAATGGGACAATGGAGACCCCAGACTGTTGAACAGCTGAAGTTGTACATCAAGCAAGAATGAGAAAGAATTCCACTTACAAAGCTTCAAAAATGAGTGTCCTCAGTTGCCAAACATTGACTTGGTTTTGTTAAAAGAAAAGGTGATGAAACACAGTGATAAACTTAACCCTGTCGCAGCTTTTTTGAAACGTGTTGCAGCCATAAAATTCAAAGTTCATGATTATTTGCGAAAAACAACAACGTTTACCAGTTTGAACATTAAATATATTGTCTTTCTCGTATATTCATTTGAATAAAGGTTGAACATGATTTGCAAAATCATTGTCTTCCGTTTTTATTTATGTTTCACACAACATCCCAACTTCATTGGAATAGTATATTCATTTGAATAAAGGCTGAACATGATTTGCAAAATCATTGTCTTTCGTTTTTAATTATGTTTCACACAACATCCCACCTTCATTGGAATTCGGTTTGTACATATACCACCAGCATGTTTTCAAATGACGCCTGTGAGATATTTTTGAGCTCACCTTCAAGCACCCTCCAGTACACACATATTCTAAATATCACCGGATGTGTAAACTGTATGGCGAAATGCATTTGACAAATGTAATAAATCTGAAAAGCATCCTGCTATTTTGTTACATTTGCATGCCAAGTCAATTTATTCCCTGCACCCTTCCCACAGCACATAATTAGAACAGAGAGCGGAGACCAAAGGCCCTCTCTTCATTAACACTTTAAATCAGTGCTTCGATGGGCATATTTTGGTGGAGGTCTAAGGTCTAGTACAAGACAACAACTGGTGCTCGCACCTGTTGGCAACTGAGCGTCTACTGTATGTACAGCTTTGACATCAGGAAGGCCAAATACCTCACTTTACCATAAGCAGTAGTAGGAAGAACAGACTTCCTTACCAAACTTTAAGTCCATGTAAAGTGAAAATAATAATCTTATAAATTTGACAAACCACAGAGAAGAGTGCTGTTAATAACCCTGAAAAAGTTGAAAGGTTAAAAAAAAAAAAATTCCACTCTCCTTACTCGTCTGTCATTCTCTATGTGACGTGGGCAAATTCCCAGCTAACAATGAGGCGCTGTAAAACGTCTACACCAGCCTGAAGCCCCGGTCCATAAGCTGGCTTTCAAGGTGGAATTAAGAAAAATTTAAAAAAATCCCCCCTCCACACTCGTTCATTTCTCATGATATAACTTGTGTGCACTCATGACAGACAACAATGTACTCTTATGCAGTCATGTCAGTGTACTATCCTAAGATAAGATGTATTTTCAGGGTTTAGGCATCGCCAACTCGCTAAATGTACATCACAAGTGAACTTGATAACCGCACTTAAAGCAGTTCTCTTCAAACATGTATCGTGTATCTACAAACAAATATGAATTTACTTTCAGGGAAGTCTTATTTTACACAAGTATGTGTAGGCCACTTACACTTAAGTACAGAGTGTGAGTACTGTTACCAACTGGGGCTATAAGACACTGTAGTGGATACCCGCATAATTGCGGCTTGGCAAATCACGGTTTCACCTATTTGTGGATTTTTTTCTAGATATTTGTTTAAAGTATATAAAAAAAGATTTTTTATATATATACACACAGGTATATGCTGTACACACACACACACACACGCGCACACACACACACACACACACACTAAGGGTCCACTGTACCTCGCAGCATTCCATGGCGTCCGGAAGGCGCTCCAGCTTCCTGTAGGCCACCGACATGTGGTACTGACTCATGGCTCGATACTTGAGGCTCCAACCTTTGCCATAGTCGTTGACGAGCTCAGCTGCTTTGCAGGGGAAGAACAGGGCTTTCTCGTAGTCCTATCGGTACACATTTTCAATGAATAGGAGAAGTCGTAATATGGCAGCGTCCAAATAAAGAAGCCCAAACTGTGCACTTTTTTTTGGACGTGGGCATAAAATAACACGCGAGTGCATTCTCCGCATGCCACATGGTCACAATGCCATTGAAACCAATACGCCACGGGAAGCTGGGGGATTACGCTTACAAATCTCTGATGTCAAGGGTACGCCATCACGCCCCCCTCCCAGCCCCAGAGCAGGTCCTCATGACTAACAATGCCCACTATTGCATGAGCTAACAGTTGGTCATGTTTGTTTGGATGCTCCACGGTGTTTTCATGCTCTGCAAATACACATCGGTGGACCTAGTGATTGCACAATCAAGTCACACGTGCCACTCAATGTCAATGGGCTGCGGCTGCTGTTTAGCCTCGCCATAAGAGAAGCAATGCTTAAAGCCAAATAGAGGCCAGCATGGGCCTTACCCCCCCCACCCCCCCCAAAAAAAACACACACACAAAACAAGATTTTAAAAGAATACATGCTTGCATAAAAATGTGAGCTATTACTCCAATTCTAATGCAGTGGAACCTCCAAAAGTCTTAAAGGGTATCTGTCATGTATCTTCGATTTAAAGTTGGTGATGTCAGAGTCAAACAAACAAACCTATTTATGTGATGTGTTCTGTTGTATCATTGTTATTTTATGTTAAATGTTCTCTAAAGCGCTTTGTTACATTTCCAACAATTGTGAAAGCTCGATTAAAGTAAAGATGTATTGTATCGCATAGGTTAGGGTTGTGCATGTCTCTAATAGTACAGTAATGGACAGTCTTCAATATACTGTAACAGAAGTGCGTGACTTGTCATTTGTGTTACCTTCAGATGGACGTAAATGTTTCCCAGACTGCAGCAGACTCTGCACTCCAGCATCTTGTCATCATTGTTGTGTGCGTAGCGCAGGGCCTTCTCGTAGCTCTCCAGAGCTTGCTGGAAGAGGCTGAGGCCCAGGAAAGCGTTGCCCATGCTGAGACACACCTGCCCATTGAGCTGCAGGCTGACCGTGGTGCCTTGCATGTTTAAGCAGGTCTTACAATACGAGACCGTTTTGTGGAAGTCGCACAGCTTCTCGTTGCTCCGCGCCAAATTCAGGTAACCCTCGGTCAGGTAATCTGGGTCCTCCATTTCTCTGGCTGTGTCGATTTGATCCAAGGCATACTGGGAAGAATGTGCCATATAATGATGTGAACATGGCTTTAAAGTGATTCTTCAGTTCGGTGAGAAGTGAGTGGCGCTTGACTAAGGCTGATTATGTCAACAAGACACCGCACACCCACTATCGGATTGCAGGACACTTATTTACTCTGCATTGAGTGCAAGCCACACATGGAAGTGGTGCTAAGAAGGTATCACCTTTGATCTGGTAACATTTAAAAACATCTTGCGCATCATGGAAATGCACAATTAGTGCACAGAGTCGTCCCGATGACACAATGGTGATGTTCAGAGGTATGCGATCTTGGAATTATGTCATATGAGCTTGTTTGATTACTGGTTGTGTAACACAGATTACAAACAAACATCAATAAATGTTTTTCAGCGTGACTCAATTGACACGTTAACAATTAGTTGTCAGTGTTGGGTAGTCTTACCTTGAGCATATCTTTATATTTTCCCATTTCCGAATGAGCCGTGATCAAGCATCCCAAAACCCGAAACTTCCCTCCAGGGTCCGAAGTTTTCTCCAACACTTTTGTCCACACCTGCAGAGCTTTGTCAGTCTGATTGGACTGGTACAGTTTCAGTCCTTTCTCTATCTGTTGCTTAGTTTGGTCCTGGCCCATCTCTGTATTGAGGTGCCTCATAAAAAAAGTCATTTGTTTAGGCCACGGGACTTCGACGGGGCAGCAAGAAACAAAAACTCCGCCATGCTGAACACTGAAGATCCCCTGAAGATGATCCCCTGAGAGCTCGGTGCCAGAAGGCCTAACGCATCCAGGTCTCTCAACTCGGGCTGCAGCGGGACGGAAAGGAAACTGGATCCAACGAAGTCGAGACCATTATCACCAGTGGCTTCGTGGTAAACCCAAGGGCCGGGCAAATATCTTCCCCATTTAACTCTGCAATAATCCCTCCTGAGCATGAAGCGTTTCAAAGTTCTTCCTCGGATTTCCGTCTGAAAAACTCCAAAGAAACACGTTTCCTAGCTGAGGGCTAACAGTGATATCCCAGAATATCTACTCCCTCCACACCCGAGCAAAAGGAATTCTCAGCACCCCTCTGTCCAACCCCCTCCACCTTCCTTGTAGTGCTGGCGCTACAGCAGATGGCCTTGTCACTCCAAACCATGTGTCCCTTCAGGAATTCTGCTCTGTCCTCAGCAAGCAGCTCCAAGGTCACCAGAGCTCCTAGCGATCCACCTTCACACGAAATACTGATGTCAGCCAGTCATTTACCATCACACGCCTCAGGATCACCAACACAACAAAGAATATCCGACCCCCACGTTGATCAATGGAGTGAGGTGCAAGTTTTATTTCCCAGGTTTCCCAGATTCCACATGTGAGACGGTGATCTTGGAAGTCTAGAAACGGGAGTCCCTATGGAGGCGCATATGTGCTCCCAGAAAGCCCCACCACTCATCTCAGCGTCAGCAACTGACGCTTAGAATAGTTCACAAAGTCTGACATGTAACTGGGCTTGGGTTTCAACTGCACAGTCTCCTGCAGCACATCTATGGGATCAAAGTTGTGGCCTCTTAGTAGTAGCTTTCTCTCCTTCGTCTCCTTTTGTCCAGCAAGGACAGAACCACCTCCGCCTCTCACTTTCTAACGGCCACTAAAAGTTTCCAGTTTCAAAAAAATCACTTTTGGTCAATCTGGCCTGATGGTAGTACATCAGGGAAATGACCTGTGAGAAAATCAGCCTCTTTTACCTCCGGAATTTTTAATTAAGAAACCACCACATTCCAATGAAAACGATGCAGCTTCACGCTTGATTAGCTTGGGCTTCAGGAGCCAAGTAAACTACGCTATACTGGAGTATCCACATCTAGAAAAACAAGTATGCACATATGCACCCCACGGGGCATAGAAGACCAACAGAAAAAAAGCAGAGGAAGGCACCTCAGGAGCGACGCGGAATTAGCAACGTCTATGCTCGACAGGTTTGTAAATTACATTGTTTTGATTTTAACTGAATGTACATTCCCCAAAAATTTATAAAAAATTTAAACCAGCAACATTTAACGGTATAGTAAACACGGTGTTACAAAAAACAAGCCACGCTATCAACGTAACAGCCATGGCTAACATCTGCTCGTTGACAATGCTAATGCTAGCTTAGTATCGTTCGTGATGCTCTTTTCTTGAAGCTGGGGAGCGTTCTCTGTGACTAGTTAGCACGGATATGTACTTGCACCCACACGCTAGTATGGATTGCCATGTTTGAATCGCACATCAGAAAGGTAAGAGAACATTCAAATCTGGTCAGCAGTTTTAAAACTGTAAACTCCCCATTTAACAATTTGGACACAGTGAAACCTCATTTATCAGATCCACAAGCAGTGGCTAAATCTGTTATTTATCGAGACCATATACTACACCCTTTTTACATACTTTTATATACCACTCCCAACATACTTGGAGCACATAGAATGCGCTTAAATTTATGAAAACACACTTTGTAAACACGTTCTGAATGCATTTGAACACCAAACAAGTACAGAAAATCCTGTATATTGTCCTGTCCATATGTTAGATAGATTTGCCATTAAGAGGCGGGGCCTGGTGGAGTATCTTGTGTCATCAGCCAGTTTGCGTGAGTGTCTGGGCGTGAGCTCTGGCCAACAGCAGTCAACATTACAGTAAGTAAACTGTAAAAAAAAAAAAAAGATTTAATCTTTGAAAAATATATTTCTTTGCACTTGTAAAATGTATGTACTGTATTCTATTTCGTTAATTGTACCATCATATGAACTCATGCTTTCTGATATCATAGTATTATGATAACTCGACAGACAAAACGTGGAGGACGTCAGTTCCGTCAAAAGGAAAGATATAACTTTCTATTTAGGTTTGTACTATATACTATATGATAAGAAAAATAGTTAGGCACTCCTTGCAGCAGCCAGCCCACTTGTATTCAAACTGTCTCTTTGCATGCAAGTTTCTATTAAATTGTATCTCTCAAAATGTCTAAAAAAGTGTTTGTCGTGTTTCTTGTCTATTAAGGGTTCACATTATTCCCATGACACTGAAAAATATGCGGGATGCAAACGGTGAACCTTAATATAAGTGGAGTAATGTGGAATTGCCAAAGGCATCCCTAATAAAACATCAGTGGAGACAGGCGCTTCACAAAAGCTCCAAGGCAAGAAAAGTTGAATTTAAAAAGCGTCATTAAGTCGCTACAGCGATATATTTGACCAGAAACACAGTACATTAAAAAAAATACTTTTGTATGACAAACACATATGAAAAGTTAAAAAAAAAAAAAAAACAACAACACCTGTTATATATATATGCATATTAATATTTGACACTTAAGGAGTCTCTGAAACATTTCTTTCCAATCAACTGTACAGTTGTCAAAGGTTTATACAGATGTTAAGTACATGCGTGTGTGTGAATAAACATACGCGTTGCGCATCACTGGCTACACCATAGCGACATATTGTATGACTCCTCATCAAACACAACCACAATGAGACAAGCGCTCATACAAATAGCTGGATTGGTTATATAAACAGTGAAACTGGTTGAGTAAAAACACTAGAGGCTGTCTAAGGCGGGATAAGAGCATATAAAAAGTCCAAAAGTCATCTGTGCTAGGTTTCAGGTGCCTCCGAACAGGAAAAAAAAAAAAATTATATGGCTCACCCAAAGTGAAGTCGTGTTCACTGTAATGGGTTCAATTAATTGGTCAAGACAAAAATGTGTACGACAGTAATGAATGGTACGAGAAGGCCTGGCTCACCACCACTAATCTTTTTCCAAGCTTGCCTTTATGGACCCTGTTTGTGAACTGGTGCATGCTGGGGAAAAAGGGCTTTCCACCAAACTTGCCGCAAAGTTACAAAGTTTCAATTGTCCAAAATGTCCAAACCCATAACAGCATTTGATTGATGAAATGATTGAAGAGGCGTGTCTCAACAGTTGTGTCTGTTTATATATGTACATTCAGAGCAAGGAAGAGGAAACGTTAGGCCAAAACAAATTGCCAGTTTGTCAGGAGGATTTTTAGCCCTCCGATAACGGAGACGACAGACGTCGCCGGGTTGAACTTCAAGGTGTTCGCGTCGCCTTTCTTACACTTGTCCCGAAAAACATAGATGCAGCCGTTACAGCTGGCCACTTTCCACAGCGACGGCACGCAGCTCCACGCTTCAGGGAAACGCAAGCGAGTGAAGCTCTCCAGCAAGGGATTGTAACAAACTAGCGAGTCTCCTTCCGCTACGATGAAGATGACGTCCATATGGACGGCGGCGTGCATGCACCCGGCAAACGGCAGCATGTACGGCTTAATGTGACAGTTCTGGGATGCTGTGTCAAAACACTGAATGAGGCGCGACGGCTTGGTGAAAAAGTCCATGTCGTTCTCCTCGCCGCCGAGCAAATAGATTGTACCTCCCAAGTTGACGCCGGCGGCTCCTGAAACCGCCGTGTCCAGCTGGCTGGTCTCCGTCCACATGTTGTCCTTCACTGTGTAGAAGATGACGGCGTTGGACAGCGTGTCCTGCAGCGTCTTCCCGCCGAGAGAGTAGATGGCGTCCTTGCTGGAAACTGACACCATGGTGTGGTGGAGGCGGTCCCTAGGCAGCGGCGCGCAGCGCTCCCAATCCATGGTGTGCATGTTGCACTTCCACATGCGTCGTGGGATTGAGCCGCCCACCACGTAGAGGTCACCTCCGTGCTTACAAGCGGCGGTGATCTGGTGGCAGAGGCTGTTCTGGCCGCTGACGCTGATAGCGTCGTCCTCGTCGCAGTGAAGAGACACGGCCAGGGAGTGAGTCCTTGTGTCCTCTTTGCCGATCAGATAAATGTGAACGTTCTCACCGATTTCCTGAGGCCGCAGGAAGAAAAAGACTCAGAAGCTGACAACTAGGGCCTGAGAGATGAATCAGACGATATTAGGCCTTTTCAAAACAACAATTGGCTGGGGGTTTTGCTGATTTGATCATTTTTGAGGCAATAAACAAGATGGTGCTGAATCTAACAATAATCTAAAAACAGTCATGTGATGAGTGTTTTTATGAAATGTGCTGAAATTGTACCTTCAGATTTTCTTGGAGAATACAAGCAAACTCTTCTCTTTCCACTTTGTTGTGATTTATCCATGACTCAATGGCCAGAGTTGGATTCTGTGAACTTGGAACTCCATCTAGGGAAAAAAAAATACAACCACTTTGTTAGTACAACATTAATTTGAAGATGTTGTCTTTCTCTTGAAAAAAAAGTTGATTCTGTAGGTCCATACTATGAATTTAATTTGACACAACACACACTTGTAATTAATGAACTTCAATGTTTCATAAAACACATTGTGGATTGTGGCAGAGCAAGAAGCAGTACTACCTTTGATAATGTCTAAGAGTAGACACAGCGGCAGATTGAGGAACTCCTCAGTCAGATGAAGTTGGGCTAAGTGGATTTTCGCACAATGTTTGGCAGATGTGTACAACTCCTGGTCACTGTGCCTGTCTGCAAGCCACATCACCTGGACAAGGACATCACGATAAACCTTTTATTTATTTATTTATTTTTTGCGTATCATAACAACTGGGACCTGACTGTGAAACCGATGGGCCAATTTAATCTGCTGAAACTTGCCCTTTTCAAAATAATCAAAATAAATCCCGATAGGTCAGGCCCTCATTTCAACTCATGCGGAACAGCAACATACCTGTAGACAATTCTTGACCTCCACAGTCCGCGAGAGAAAGCGAGAACATTCCTCAAAAAGAGCCGTTAACTGGTACATATCTGCCATCTCGTAGGTGTCCTGCAACTCCTCCACCCTCAGTTTAATGGTCCCGTGGTAGATGTAGTCAACCAGCAGCTGGAAAACAGCAGCGCTTACATCCTTCAGTTCGATACAGCGGTTGTGGGACTCTTTGAGGTTGGAGGTGAACATGGAGCGGAAAAAACTGCTCTGCGCCGACAGCACGAGTCGGTGCAGGTGGAATTCTTTGCCGTCCACCGTGATGGTGACGTCGGCAAACAGGCCGTCTTCCAGGCACAGGTCCATGATGCTTTTCACCACCCGGCTGGAGTGGGAGCGGTCGGTGAAGGTGTACCCCTGGAAGTAGTTCTCTTCTCCCCCGACACTGAGGCCCCCCTCCTCACTGGACTCCATCTCGCCTGGCTGGGAGAAAAATGTATTCAGTATTCCCAATACTACGTTCCCAGCTTCATTTTGATTGATGAGATAATTCTGTAAATGATCTGTGCGCATAAGATGACAGAACACAATGAACGCAAAACGCAGTAACAGAATGTGGCTCCAAATAAAGGGCGATGAGAACAATGCAAGTAACGGTTACTCAATTATGGTCGTGACATGATAAACAGTAATATTTACATGCGATGTGACATGCCAGTGATGCTAACATTAGCCGTTTTGTACAGAAGATCGCTTTAGCGTATGTTAGCACAGCTCCGTGCTGTCAGTTGACGTTTATTTAAAAAAATATTTTAAACAAGATATTACCTAGGAATAATAATATCAAATCAGCACAATCACCTTGAACCACTGTAGCATGAAGAAACAACGAAACTGTTCACCGGAAGTAAATAAACTTTACAACAGTCAGCTGATCATCGTTGTCTTCTGTTTTATGCTTTTAGCTAACGTAAGTACGCTACCGCCCCTCATAGGCCAGAAGTATATTGCAGGAACATACTCGAGCCATGTCACGGATTTAATATAACCTAAATTTGCGTACAAGCACATTTGGTGCTTTAATTGCTTGTATCACATTTGTTCGGGATACAAAAATATAAATGAATTTTCACTCTGTCATTTAAAAGGTGACATTTTTAAGCGACAGGCAGCATAGCTCAGTGATAAACTGCTCGTCTTCCAGCCCAGGGGTTGGGGTTTCAATTCCCGGCCATTGCAAACTTGTGTACTTGACCAAGATACGGAACGTCGGGTTACTCATGTAACTTTGTCATCAGTAGTAAACCCCTTTGCGTATCAAAGGTAGAAGTACCGGCGCCTTTGTAAGTGACAGTCCATTTACCATATTTAAAAAAATCTACGAACCCAATTCGAAATTGTTTGACATAAACAAATAAAACCCATAAAATTCCTGTTATAAAAGGATGTGCGCACTTTGCTCACCACATTAAGAGTTATTTATTGTTTCCAGTTTTTCTTTTGTCATGTTTATATGCAGCAACATGTCCAAGCTCTCCAACCCCCAAATATTCAAGTTTATTAAACAACAAATCACCAGCAAGATCAAACCGATTTATCTATCTTGATACACAGGGTGACGAAACAATTTGAGAATAGTACTTTTTAAAAGTAATGATGTGATTTGGTTTGGCTAAATCCAAACGAATCTTCCATTTTTTTGGCTCCACTATGACCCATACTGTATATACTAATATACTTACTGTATTTGAAAAATAAAAAGTCAAGGGAGTTACTTATCCTCTATTACGGTAACTGTTAACTACCTTGATTACTTCTGCAGGATTAAAACACATTGGATCAGAAAGAGTAAGATCCAGAATATTGCTGTTTCACATCATGGCCATCTGGCTTTGGATTCCTTTTTCCAGCAGGGAAAAAAATGTGTGGTATTTGACAGTGTTGTCTCTGCCTACTCACGAATGGACAGACGAGAGAGAAGAAGGATGCAGTCGTGTCGTTCTGGAAACGAAGAATGAAGATGAAACTCCAATTAAGAATTTGGCAGCTGGTCATCATGTGGATGTGTTTCAAACAAGCACTGCAAGGTAAGTTGGAGCAGATCGGCGCTGCGACGGGGACTGAATTTAGTCCCATAATAAGACTGAGTTGATAAATATTCGATGAAACTCTCCACACTGAAGACATTTCATATTTTAACCTTGTAGTTTAATTTGCATGACAAAGCCCAATTTTCAGTGTTTGAGCGTGACTGGTTTAGACAATATAAATAATGTAGCAACTTTTCATACACGCACCACCAGTTTTATGTGTTTTGGAAAATGGATATATTTGTTTGAAATTAATCTCTAGATGCATCTGCAGGTAAAAGTCCAACTCGCTCGACAGTTGTTGATCCAAACCTGATGTTCGAGGTACCGTTGCCATGCTACAGTTCAGTCAATATAATTTACAACACTCTGGTTCCATTTAAGACAAGTTGTTTTGAAATTCCTTCTTGCAGTTTTTGCTGGGCGGTGTAGAACTCAACCAGGACAGCAATATTGTCCTGCTTGATGAGGAGATGGCATCAATGAGGCCTGGGCGGGCCTTCCTCTCTCGGGTCAATAACAACATTCCTCGAAGTTTGAGTTCCATGCAGCAGATGGTGGACGTGCTGAAGAGTCGGAGGAAGGAGCCGATGACTCAGGATCTGTTTGAGAGTCTCGTCTTGAGCATGGTGCGCTCGGCATATCAGACCGGGAACCAGCGACGACCCAAGGACCGGGAGGCCTGGGGCGAAATGCTCCTGCAGCTCGCAAATCTCACAGTGCATGAGCTGCGTGGAAGTTATCTCCTCAGTTATATGTAAAACTATAAGTGATGTGCACATGTGCAGCAATAAACAATTCATATTGATGCAACAAACTTGGCTTTTATCCTTTCGCTACAATTATCATCTAATCATAAAATCATATTCATATTTACAGTATCATCCATAGTAAGAAAAAAAATTGAAACATTTTTGTAAACGTAAGATGTAGTTTAAGTTAGGTTTCAAAAAAAAAAAACATTCTTTTTTTTTTAAAATTTCGTTAACATTTCAGTTTTGGTTATTTCGTTTGTTTTCGTCAACTAAGGCAGCCTTGACAATGTAAATTCATGTTGTTGTTAAATGTTTCTGAAAACCACTGGTTCACCGTGCCCTCACCTGCAATGATCCAAAACTGAAAAGAAAAAAAAAAGATTGTATTTACTATTTTCCAACAATAAACCAATTTGATTAGAAGTTATGGCCCAGAGGCAACGAGGTCACACTGCACAACATCTGCTCTGACCACGGAAGCCGCTAATTATCGGAAGATATCGACGCCTATGAGTCAGCTGCCTAATTAATTCTGATATTGATCTATCCAGCCACCATTGCCTTTTGACAATGAGGTCTTGGCCTTCATTCACCGGGGCCACAATAGGCTCCAGCTATGAGACCAGCCTCTTCACACGTGCACGCACACACACACACACACACACACACACACACACACACACACACACACACACACACACACACACACACACGACACTACATACACTTTGAGTGGACACATCTCCCGAAATGTGTATAAAGTTTATGAAATTTATTTCGATCTGGATGGCATTTGTGATCCTGCAACTCCATCTTGTACATGCATCAGCCACAACATTAGGTAGGCCTACACAGCTTTTATAATGTCAGCAATATGTCCTTATCAAAAGCACTTTGTCGTCATGAAAATATAACTTCAGAAATGTGAATGATCACCGTGCTTTATTTTAATTATTTTTTATAATGTTCTATAATGATTATTCATTAATCCAAAACTACATGACCAGAAAATCACAACATCCCATTATGTTGTGTTGTATTATTGTTATTTTATGTTAAAAAGCGTCTTGTTACAGCTGCAACATAAAGGTGTATTGTATTGTGTTGCATATTAGTGTTCTTTGTTTCACTATTCAATTGTACAGGCGTTGCTAATTTTGTGGCTGGTGACAGTCGACAATGGAAATATGGTTTTGCTTGCTGCATCATAAATATTGGATGAATCTGTACAATATTATTTTGACTCCATCCCAGGATAAGCAATTCATCAAATTCAAATCGGCATTGCAATGTAGGAGAATGCAATTTTCAAACTGCAAAGGCTGAAATTTGAAAAATAAAATACCATGTTTTATTTTTTGGTCGCTCGGTAGGCTTCATATCTATCAATCTATCTATAAAACAATAAGAGGATTTTTCAAAATTGTTCACCCATACTCCATTCCACCTAGTGTTTGCAAACAATTACCAATGAAGACAAGATTGGTTGTGTCTTGGCCGATAAGGTGAAATAAACCGAGCCACACGTGCATTGGTCGCCTGGCCTTTTGATTTTGTCAGAAATGGGAGGCTAATATTCCAGTGAAATCTGTCGACTCATGCTGCCAAAACGTGGCGGCGTGCATGTGGAGGTCATCAAACAAGAATGGACGAGCTACTCGCCTGGCCCTGATCAGTGAGGTTAAGGGACATTAACATGTAATGAATATTGCCGGGGCCTGGGAAAGCAGCGGAGAGGAGTGGCCAGCTGAGCTCTGATTGGTCGGACCTTGTTTTTCGGATGGGCCAGCACCCCGTGACCTTGGGGGTCATTTGAAGCGCTGATGAACTCTGACCTTATGCTAAGAGGCGGATGGAGAGGTTTGATTGTTAATTTATTACCGCTACACCGGTTGGCTACAATATTAGAGCTACTAGAGCTACCTTGTTCTGTAAGAATTATTATCTTTATCAAGCCAGATGCAGCTCTTGCACTGAAATCGGAAAAAAAATGTGTCCATAATATTGTGGTCAATCCCACCAAGGTGCAATCATACAATTTGGTGTGAATGTACAGCAAAAAAAAAAACAAAAAACAAAACAAACAGCATTCAAAACACCAAAACATTCTTTAAAAAAAGTTTATTGGCTTTTAAAACCACTTTTAAAAATCTCACCAGTGAGTACTTTCCATTGAAAAAAAAAAAAGAAGAAACAATGCGTTTGCAATATTAACAAGCTACTGTACATTAAGCAGTACACCAAACAACATCACAGAGGAGGGTATATATATAGATATATATCTATATATCTATAGATATATACTTTTTTCTTCTACTGGTAGACATGAATTAAAGAGTCAAACAGAATTGGAGCCGGGTCAGTCAAAAGGTAAAATCACTGCTTGATGGAGCTCAGAAGAGGTGCATTTCCTTCAATAAGAATTCAAATATCAGTGCCTTTATGAAAAAAAAAAATACTACAGGAACATGTCTTCACAACTGAACTTTGAGACATATGTTAAAAAAAAAACATATCGGTAAAACAGTCATCAACGTAAGACAACAAAAGTTAACTTAGTAAACAGCAAACGACAGAAGTAGCTGACAAAACTGGCCCCGCCTGTCTGGTTAACAGAACCTGCCCACATCACAGCAGACAGTGGTCACCGAGAATATACAAAGTACAACAGAAGACATCACACATGCGTGCGTACAATCATTTAGCAACACCATGAGCACGTTGGTTTTTAAAGGTTTCTCCGAACGTTTTTTTTTTGTTTTTTTTACACCCCCCCACCTCAATGCTTCATATTCTCATGTATGAGAATGCGTAAGAAATGTGTATCTCACTGAGATTAATGCACATTTTGCTACAAGACAATTAGTCAATTTCTGACAGTTGATTTCCTTACGCACCTTGTCATAAAAAATATTGGATTCTTTTTTTTTATGTCGCGGGCGTCCATCGTTACATTTGTCCGTTAAGACGTGGCAAAGGTGTGTGTCGTAAAAATTTAGTGCAATAATGAGAACCTCCGAAGTTTGTGGAAACACGAGCGAATGGTTTTTCTTATCCAGTGTTTGCTGAAAGGCTTTGTCGCAAAAAAATGTTTGCAACCAGCTAACAGTATCACAATAATTTTTTACGCCCCTCCCGCCCCCCTCTGCCCCTCCTGTTCAGAGCACGGGCCCCTTCTGCTTCTCCTCCTCAAAAAGTCAAATAAAATCAGCAAGCGAAGACCAGACAGCATTACTTTTACGACACTCTAAGCCAGAAATGTAACACACAACATACAGTATCTTGCCGACTATACATCTGTTAAGCTTTTTTTTTTTCCTTTTATATGACACATACTTAGCTATAATAATGGCCATAATATAGTGTCCGAATACATCAAATCTCTATGTATCTATCCTATTTACAAAAGGAGCTTCAACATGACTTGTACAACAATGACAATTGCCAAAAACTCAAGTAAGCTTCCTGACTGTATCACATAGAGGCGGTGGTTTCAACATGCTTTTTCCACACCCATGGTTACTTGTTGGCTTGTGACCACTTCCCTAATATACATACTGTACATAGAATTGATCTCATTTCATCCTATTTTCTTAGATGCAATAAAAGGATTCGGTGTCATCACTCCTGCTGATTTTAACTCGGAGTGACCACGTGTAAATAATCTCTTTTCCCAAATCTTTGGTATGGAAATAAGGCGCACATTTCATTCCAGATGACATCAATGCGTGATTTCTGCCTCTTGAATTTTGACGCTTAGCCTTCTCCAAACCGTTGATTTTATTTTTTCCTTTTTATTCAAACATGCAAAAAACAAAACAAAACAAACATGAAAACCAAATGACGGAAAGCGTGCCTGCCATTGGTTCTGTGACGTTATATCAAATTCCTCTAAATGCAGTTAAGGTCACGCACAGTGTAATCGCTAACCTGTACAAAAAAAAACAAAATCATCTACGCTTTAACACTGCGAAACAAACCGAATGAAGCAATAGTGATGAAAATATCAAGAGTTAACAGCTGCCTTGATATGACAAAGACGCTCTGGATGGTTCGATCTTAACATGAGTCTATGTACAGTCTCTCTAAAGATGGTATAAGGCCTTGGACAGAAGGAATAAGGCAGCCAGTTGATTCCTTTCAATGTTTAGTCCGACAAGTGGCCTGAAATCCCATCGTGTCCCTACCGTTTCATCCACTCCCTTTGGAAGTTTTTCAACAGTACGAGATTAGACTTTTGAGAAAGAAAAATGTCAACCATGCTCAGGCGTCAATCAGTTCTGCACTGATTTGGTTTGTGATAAAGTAGAAAGAACTTGTCAAAAATTCAGCACCTGGTAGCCCGAGTCGCTACCCGTTTTAATATTTAGATATGGCAGGCAAACGTCAAACAACCGACACTACCACCCTATTTTTTATCTACATTTGGTTGAACTGCACACACGGAAAAATAGTTTACATTTTTGGTGATGTCAGATCGTGCCAAATCTCCTATCCGTCTCACTTCGAAGTGTTTGTTCAATATTGCATTATTGAATTTGTTCGAACATGGAAGATGTATTTTTCTCGAAATGCTCACACATCACTGCATGCTGAGCCACTTAAATCTCTCCTTTATTTCCAAGGCTTTCATTTCTGATTGTAGACACGGGGTGGGGGGGGAGGGTGAAGGGATGGCGGGAAATGGGAACCAAGGAGAAGGTTAATGAAACATCAGCTGAAAGAGAGAGACAGAGAGAGAGAGAGAGAGAGAGAGAGAGAGAGAGAGAGAGAGAGAGAGAGAAGGGTAAGCCTGGCACTTTTTTTTTTAAACAGAACCAACGGCAAAAGTCCTTACAAGTCCCAACAAACTAGTTTCAAAAACAGAGATACTAGATACGCACCAAACAAACGCGTGAACACGGAACAGAAGTGGTAGAGCATCAAAGGTAAGATCAGCCCAGCATCTGGACTGTAGTCGGCTGGTCTTTGCTCTCCAGCCAGTCGAAGCCAGAGTTCACAGTATCACTGCATATCTGCTGAAAGAGCGGGTCGTTCTTCAGTTCTTCCAGTGTCGAGTCTT